GAGTTTGGGAGAGAAAGTGGCAGTGGCGGCTGTGGTGTGGAGGAGATGAGGGAGATAGTGGTGTGGATTTGCAGTCTCTTTCAGCAGGGGGGAGGTGAAGCTGGGAGTTAGTTTTCTGGGTGGTGGCACTGGCAGCTGTGATTTCATGAGGAAGAAACAAACGACGGTGGCCGAGATTGGAATTGAATTTATTTGCAATCATCTGAATTCAATTAAATTGAATTTAGAGGTCTTAAAGAAATTTTATTGCTCGTTAAAAATAAAATCTTAAATGAAATTTAATTTTGAAAATAATTTAGAGGTAAAACATTTAATATTAAAACTAATTTACTAAATTAATTCTTTCTAAATTAACATTAAAAATAATATTATAAAGTTAATTCAAATTACCATTTGGTTTTAAACTAGTTATAAGTAACATAAATTTATCCCTTTTGATAAAAAAAAATTAAAATTAAAATTTAAAAAGGATTAGCTAAATTTATGATGAAAAGAAACATATGCTATCAATCCCCAATTGAAAAATAATAATTAGAAAGGGAAATTGTTATAAAAAAGGATGAAATTTTTTAGTAATTTAATTTAAATTTTGAATAAAATAAAATAATCAATAAGTAACAAATAGTGTAAATTCACCAGTTGACTAAAATAATTATTAAATAGAAAATTTTTATAAATTAAGGAAAAAATAGTTATACAATAATAAAAATAGAGTGGAATTTTTAAAAATATCTCTTAATCAAAAAAATAATTATTTTTAAAAAATAAAAATAAAAACCGTTGAGAAACCCTGAAATTTGAAAAAAGCATTTGAAAAATATGGATAGGTAACAGCTTGGGAACAAATCATGTAATAAAAACAATCTTATTTAAAAATAATTTGTTGAATTATTTTGTTTAATATAAATAAAAACTATGTCGATATTATTAAGAAAAAAAATCTTATTCTAAAATTTTTCATACAAATTAAAACATTTCCTTTATATTATTAAGAAAAAAAATCTTATTCTAAATTTTTTCATACCAATTAAAACATTTCATTTCACAGGCGAAATTATCAATAAAATTTTTTAAAATATTAATATTTAATATTTCATCAGAAATTCTATCGATAAAACCTAATATAATGAACTAGAGGCTTCATCTTCTTCCTTTTCTTCTTTCATCTTTTATTTTTCTTTCCTCTTCTTCATTTTTATTTTTGTTCACGACTCAAGCCAAAATCAAGCATCATTTTCTCTTGTCGTCTTAAGATATATAGTGTTTTTTTTTTCTATTTTTCAAGTTTTTTTTAACAATTATTTTTCATTTATTTTGTTTTTTTAATTCTTAACCAACACTAAGCACACTATAAAGGTTAGAATTTTTCATTCCTTTTTTCTTTTTTCTTTTTGTTTTTGCATTATTTTTATTTTTTTAGTCATTATTTTTGTTCAATTTTGTGTTGAATTTTAGTTCTTATTTAAATTATTTTTTTATTATTTTTGAAGAATTTTAGCTGTTGTTTTCCAATTTTTTTGCTTAATTTCAATTAAATGTTTAGGATTAATTTTAATTTTGAATTTTTTTAATTTAGATTTTTTTTAAAATTTATCATTAAATATATCACCACTTAGAAAATGAGAATTTTGTGTGAAATTGAATTATTCTAATTTGTTGGAAGAAATTGAATAAAATAAAACAGTTTGCGGCATATATGTTGTGTATTTGTAAATTTAAAAGTTTTAAATAGCCTTCTATATAGAAGAGGTGATGTCAAATTTAAAAAAAAAATCATTTTTTTTTCCTGTTACTATGCATAGATGCCACAGGAAAAGTATATTGCATGTTGTTAGGATAGGATCACTATTAGTTCTTATAACAATCATGCTAACGATCACGAGTTATTAAATGTTGATCAAGAACAAACACTCGAGGCACAAACATCAACTTATGAAGCGAGGTCGTTAAGTGCGATATTGCAATGTGGAGGGAGGTCCCTTCATAATGAGATTCAGTTACCTGCAAGTACAAGGTTCAGTGGAAGGATGACCTTTTAATGTAAGAATGATTTTTATGCTTTCACAATGACATGTTTAATAATTTTTTTAAAAAATAATTTTATTTAATGAATGCAATTTTAAGTTTATAAACATTGAGGTTGCAAGAACAATATTAACATCAACTTTTAAATCATCGATGAAAATTTCATTATGTTAATAAATTCAGGTTTTTCAAACATCTTGAATGGAAACCATATATCAATACATGATTTTCAAAGTTTAAGATTAATATTAACTTAAATACTTTTTAATTATATTAATTTGGTTAGTTTATTGAAATTATTGAAATTTTATTTTTATAAATTTGTAGGAAAATTTAAATGAGAGAAAACTGATGATAATGTTTCAAGGAGGGTTTGAAAGAATCACGCTACAACTAGGTAAGATCAAAATCAAGATAAGTTTTTATTCCATTTATTAAAATTTTATTTTTCATTTACTAATAGATAGTTTATTAGTAATATATAAATTGTGTGATTTTTAGTATGAGGAGTAAAAGAATATGCGAGAGAAAGCGAGCTTCTAGCCTAGAATGGCATGACAGTTTGAAAGGATTTAAGATTGCCATATATCTCGAAGGTTGTATGGGTAGACAACATTCAACACATGATGTCTGCACATTTCACTTGATGTTCACAGTCTGGTATGGAGAATCAACATCAATGAATTCACGATTCTGTTTCATTCGTTTCACATGCAAAGCGTATGGTATAATTTTTTATATTACTTTTATTTTTTTATTTGTTATTTTTTTATAAATTTATTTAACTTACAATATTTTTTTTATCTTGCAAGCTATGGTTCTTGGGCTTGAGCCAAGCCTGATGGAATGTTTTGTTGAAATGTATGTAGGGGGTGATGACCACCAAAAAAGAATGCAGCAGTTTGTGAATAGTTGAGCTCAGCATTTTATGCTATGTTGGTTTTCAATCATTTTTTTTATTAAGTTATAATTTCTTTCAATTTTATGAATTTATTTTTTCTTTTTAAGATACATATAACAGCTGCTCGAAAAAGAGAAATGAGGATGATCATTCAACCCATCTGGATCTCAATCTGAATTGTGGTTGGAGATTGAATTATCCGATGATCCTGATAAAAATTGGGTGTATGAATTATCTAACACTATAGTCAAGAACTTGCAAACAACTTATAGTATTTCTACCATTGGATGCTTGCAATCGATTCCGAGTACTCAAACTCCTGATTTCATAGTGATATTAAACCAATGAATATAGGATCATATGACCCATCTCAATAAAAAATATGAACGACTCACTACAAATTATGAAGAACTCCGCCTAGTGATAGTGAAAATGAGATCACACATGGGTATTCATGTGCTCCTACTTATTGGCCCTAGATCTAGGCGATGACCAACCTTCTCCTCCTCTTCTAGCATTGCCTTTGTTATAGATTTATTTCTCCTTTTCTAACGTTGCATCTATTTTAGATTTATTTTGTTAAATATTAGTAAATTTCTAATAAATATTTAATTTTTATATTATTTTAATTTCTTTTTATATATTTTATTTTTATTTGATTTTAATTTTTTTAATTATTTTTCTACTTCTATTTAATATTTTTTAAAAAAATATATTTTTAAAATTATTACTAATGTGGTTACAGATAAAACATTTTGGTCGGTATATTTCAAAAAGATGGAAAAGAATTATTGTAATTATCACTGCTAGTGTTAACTCTTCAACAAAATTACAAATGGTATTCCATAGGTGATATATTATATTTATCGACAGACAATTAAAAACATCAACGGAATTGCATTCGGTATTTCACCTCTTATATGGCAAACATCCCTTAAAAAATATCAATAAAATGAAGAGGGTATTTTTTTTTTGTCTGTTTATAAATTCATTAGTAAATTTATTATCAATAAACTCATCAACAAGTAAAAAATTATCCATGAGAATTTTTTTGATAGATTTTTTCTATCAATGAGCTTATCGATGAAATATTTACTGATAAACTATAAATGTAAATATTGAAATTTTATGGGCAAAATTATAAAATCTAGCCGTGGTTATCCCAAGTAGAGTACTTTATGGTTTCCATCGTTGTTTATATTTTTTATAGCGTGTACAAGACAAAATAGTTAAGAAATATTTTAATGAGATTAACATTTGATTTCTCTTCAAAGCAGCAAAGAAAAAGAGAAAGGAGCTAAGAAAGGAAAGTCAAGAACTGCGTTATATATTTCTGTGATGCATTGCAACCTACAGTTTTCGTGGTATGATGTTTGGTTGTTGAAATTTGGATCATGGTTCGGACTCCTACGAAAGCAAGTCAATTTTGCCTACTAATTGATTGATTTTCATTATAAACATGCTAATTAAATTCGTATGTATAATGATCATTGATGATTCCATGATCTTGGTGAACTAACTGGGATGGCTCACCTAATGACTTCTCAAGAGATTTCTTCTTATTTTGGTAGATAGTTATTAGAAAGATTTCCCACAAAAATAATTCAGGAATTAAGAATCTCATGAATTAAATGAATGCATCTCATAAATTCAAAAGCTTTCAGAAAGTAAATCTGTGAGAATCTTCTGATAACATTAACAACAAGAAACCTTACTAAAATAGCTTAGACGTAATCATTCATTCAAGGGATTTGTACGATCATCTATATCTATATATATATGTGCTGCTGCTAGCTAGTTCTTCGTACCTTCTTTCAGGGCAACAAACTTGTAGAATTTCCTCATGGCAAATATTGTCTATTTACGTTCGCCACTTCTGGTGGTTATATTGTTTTTATTATTCAGTTTTCATGCAAGCCTTTTAGCCTTACCATTAGCTAAAAAAGACGGGTTCGGTGTTGCTCTAATCCATCGAGACTCCCCCAATTCTCCACTATACAACGCTGATGAAACTCATCTGGAGCGCTTCAACAACGCTTTTCAACGTGGCATTTCTCGTCTCAATCTACTTAACATGAAACAATATAATGGTCCTGACTCAGGAGTGTCGTCTGACATGGGTCAGTACCTCTTGAAGTTCTCTATAGGCAGCCCTCCAGCAGACATTTATGGCATAGTTGATACGGGCAGTGACCTCATGTGGACACAGTGTCAGCCTTGTGAACAATGTTATAGACAAATTAATCCTATCTATAACCCTAAATCCTCTTCTACATACACCGGCATCAGCTGCCAATCGAATGAGTGCCATCTTCTTGACACGGCCACTTGCTCTGCCGAGTCTCTATGCAACTATACCTATGCCTATGCATCTAGTTCGTTTACAAAAGGTGTCCTCGCCAAGGAAGCCATTACGTTTAGCTCTAGCTCCGGAGGACAGCCTGTTTCAGTCCCAGACATTGTTTTCGGTTGTGGACACAGTAACACGGGGTTTAATGAGCGTGAAATGGGCTTGGTCGGACTAGGAGGCAGGCCTTTGTCACTTGCCTCTCAAATTGGATCCTATTTAGGGAACAGAAAGTTCTCTTATTGCCTGGTTCCATTTCATACTGATCCGAGTATATCGAGCAAGATGTATTTTGGTGATGGCAGTGAAATTATCGGTGAGGGTGTGGTGTCAACTCCTCTGGTTCGAAAGGAAGACCCGACCTACTATTATGTCACGGTGGAAGGAATAAGCGTTGGAGACAAGTTCTTGCCCTATAACTCGTCGGGCACAGCTTCTGAAGGTATTGTATTCATTGACACAGGAGTGCCGCCGACAATATTACCTCGGGATTTCTACAACCGGTTGGAACGAGAAGTGAAGAACTCAATTCCGATGACACCATATCAAGACCCACAACTAGGGACACAGCTTTGTTATAGAAGCAATACTACTATTAATGCTCCCATATTAACAGTCCATTTTGGTGGTGGTGCTCAGGTACCTCTAGTGCCGACCAGCACCTTTATTTCACCAAAGCAAGATGTGTTTTGTTTTGCAATGACGACAACAGATGCCGCTGTTGGCATATTTGGTAACTTTGCTCAAAGCAATTTTAGGGTTGGCTTTGACGTCGACAGACAGACTGTATCCTTCAAGCAAGTGGATTGTACCAAAGAATAGCGTGAAGACATGAATCGAATTTATAAGCAAATCTAATTTAATCCATAATTTATTATAATCTTTTTATGTTTATTATAACTCTGCCTCTACTGCATTTAGCATATGCTAATTATTTGACCTGCGTTTCACTGTGGCTAAGGTTTTTTTTCAACAAAAAAAATTATATATATACACAAGCTTTTTTACATATTTTTTAGCTATAAAAAGTTTAAGTGAAAATAAAAAAATTTATACAATTAAATAAATTAAGAACTATATGCATTAATAAATTAAAAATAAATTAATAACTAAAAATAAAATTAAAAAAATTAAGAAATATATATAGATCAAAATATTAATTTCACAAGATGGGACATTTACCTACTTTTATTTAATAAATTTATTTATTAAAATGATTTTTTTATTCAATCAAACGATAATATAAATACACACATATTAAATTCATTGAATAAAATAAAAGAGGAAAAAAATACTATACAAAACTACATATATTAAAAATATCATTTAAAAATAAATACTTTTTATTTTCAAAAATAAAGTTCACTTGTACAAAAGATAAAAAAAAATGATAGATGAATCAAAAAAATATTTTTTAAAAATAAATAATTATTATTTAAAAAATGCTTTATAAACAAAATCAAAGAAAGAAAGAGTATTAATTTAAATATGAAAGAAAAATAATCAATAAAAAAAAATCAGGTATCGCTAGGGTTAATAAACCAAGCCAATCTGTATAGTCCATTTCATTAGGGCATACTTAATTGGATTTTTTTAATTGCATCTGAAAAGAATAATGACATGTTTACCTTAATGTTTTTGAAAAACTAAACTAGTGCATTATCTTATTTTGCTTAGATTTCAACCATTATTATGATAGAAAAATCAAAGTTGAAGGTTTTTGAATCAAAAACTCATTTTAATCTATTTTTTTCTAAAATACCTAGAAACATCACATGAACCTTAATAAAACTATCCATAACCTCAAAAACATCTCAAAACTCAAAACCAAAAATCTCTTAGAGTTTGAATATGTTTTTTTAAGAACTTTCAAGGTAAAAAAAACAACCTAATATGAACTCTTTTCATCAAATGAAACTAATTGATACAAAGATCAATTATTTTGGTGTCTAAAATCAACACCAATAAAATTTCTCTCTCTTTACCATCAAAATTTGGTGATGTTTTTATCTTCTCTCTCAAACTAGGGATTAAAAATTAAAAAAAAACTTTTATATGATAATTAAATTGAAAGAAATATTGAGGTACCAGATATGTATAAGTTTTAAAGTATGATCACTAAATTAAACTTTTCATGTGAACTTTGAAATCATCATCCATTTATGGTGCCACTTCTACTCCGGTCCCCCATTTTTTAATTTTTTTTCCCCTTAGCCAACAAATTTGATTCAATTGCTCTTGAATCTGGCCTAAAAATATAGTTATCAAATCTAGTTTAGAGGTTGACCTGACCAAGAAGTTGAGTCCCGGTTTTCATAGGTTAACTAGGGAAAATTTTAAAAAATATATTTAAAGTTTTAATATTTCATATAAAAAAATTAAGAAAAAATTCATGTGAATATAGGCTACATATATTGTAAATAATGAAGTTCATGTGAATATTTTTAAATTTTTTTATCCCATATTAAAAAAATAATATGTTATACTTTTAAATTGAAGTATTTAAACAAAAAACTTTTATTCCATATTGAAAAAACATAAATTTTTTATGGTGAACATAGAATATATATATTAAAAGGCTTCAAATCTCACATTAAAAAGATATTATGTTAATAACTTTTTAAGTTAAAGTATTTAAATCAAAATATTTTTTTATCTCATATTAAAAAAATATGATTTTTTTCCTTGTGAACATAAAGTATATATACGAAAGGACTTCAAATTCCTCATTGAAAAAATAAGAAATATAATTTTTTTTTCTTATGAACATAGCATATATATATGAAAGGGCTTCAAATCCTACATTGAAAAAAAAATTAGGAATATAGAATATATATACTTAAAGGTTTCAAATCTCATATTCAAAAAATATAATTTTTTTATCATGGATCATGGATCATTTAATTAGCCATTGCTATATATATATATATATATATATATAAAAGGGTTTCAAATCCTATATTGAAAAAAATATTATGTTATCATTTTAAGTTCAAATATTTAAATAAAAAAATATTTTTTTATCTCACATTGAAAAAATATAAAATTTTTCTTATAAACATAGAGTGTATATACGAAAGGGCTTTAAATCCTACATTGAAAAAATAATTTTTTTTTAACATAAAATATATATACTAAAACATTTCAAATCCCACATTATAAAAATAAAATATTTTTCTAAAATTTATATAGTGAATTTTAAAAAGTGTTAATAACCCATTAAAAATATATGAAAAAAAGAAGGATATTGGAGAAAAACCACATTTAAAAAGAAAAAACATTGGGTTTCGTTCGAGTTCACCCTGGTTGCCTGATTCATGAGTCGACCAACCGGGTTGATTGGGTTTTGCTGGGTTGTTGCACCGACTGGTCTTTTGACAAACCCCGACTAGTCTAGCCGCTAGGTCGACCGGGTTCGGGTTAACCTACTAGACCAGGCCTAGTTTAATAACTGTGCTTAAAAGGATGCAATCACTCCAAAACAAATTCGAGAATCAAATTGTAAAAAAACCAAAATTTGAACAAAATATCCATAAGAAAATGTGAGATAGTAAACAATACATATAACTATAGCGAAAATATAACAACCTGAAATTTCATATCAACTCATGATCGAAATTGGTGTTACTTATA